ATTATACGAATGACGCTGTTGTCTGTTAGGTGCAGTGTGCATTTATCAAAGTCGATGATGGTGTACTTGATAGAGGCACACTTGACCTCCTGATATGTATATAAGTGTAGATAATTATGATGAAGATTGACAGGTGGAAACGAACACAATACTAATCTTTGTTCTCCTATTCCATGTATACTAATCTGTATGTAAAGAGAGCACCTAACATAAATAAAAAATGTGCGGACAGGCCATATTTGGGAACCTAATTTTCAATCTTTCACACGAAACAGAAGCCTAGGTTGTATATAATTGATTGCATGTAATTGTTTGGTTTCTTAACATCCGAACTTGATCTCGAAAAATACAGCCGTTTATAACTTTGATAAGCGACTCCTTTGTCATTTAAATGGATAGGTTGGTCAATGTCGGATCAGGAAAATATTGACGTGGACAGGTTGGTCAATGTCGGATCAGGAAAATTCTGACGTGGACAGGTTGGTCAATGTCGGATCAGGAAAATATTGACGTGGACAGGTTGGTCAATGTTGGATCAGGACAATATTGACGTGGACAGGTTGGTCAATGATGGATCAGGAAAATTCTGACGTGGACAGGTTGGCCAATGTTGGACCAGGACAATACTGACGTGGACAGGCTGGTCAATGTTGGATCAGGAAAATACTCAAATGGACAGGCTGGTTAATGTTGAATCAGGAAAATATTGACGTGGACAAGCTGGTTAATACTGGATCAGAATAATACTGACATAGTCATGTAGGTAAATGTTGGACAAGAATAATACTGACATGGACATGCGGGTCAGTGTTGGATCAGGATAATACTGACATGGATATGTGGATCAATGTTGGATTAGGACAATACTGACATTGATATGTTGGTCAATGTTGGATCAGAATAATACTGACATGGCCATGTAAGTCAATGTTGGATCAGGATAATACTGACATGGATAAGTAAGTCAATGTTGGATCAGAATAATACTGACATGGACATGTAAGTCACTGTTGGATCAGGATAATACTGACATGGACAAGTAAGTCAATATCGGATCAGGATAATACTGACATGGACAAGTAAGTCAATATTGGATCAGGATAATACTGACATGGACAAGTAAGTCAACGTTGGACCAGAATAATACTGACATGGATAAGTAAGTCAATGTTGGATCAGGATAATACTGACATGGACAAGTAAGTCAATATTGGATCAGGATAATACTGACATGGACAAGTAAGTCAATATTGGATCAGGATAATACAGACATGGACAAGTAAGTCAATGTTTGATCAGGACAATACTGACATGGATAAGTAAGTCAATGTTGGATCAGCAAAATACTGACATGTACAGGTAGGCCAGTGGCAGACGTTATTTCTATTCCTGTTCAAATTGCTAAGTTAAAACACATATGTCAGTAGGTAGATGAATTCCTCTTAGGTAGCAAAGGAAACTGCATGCACATCATTAGGCATGTGATATAAATTGAACTCTATGACATGTCAACTCTTGAGGCTTAAAAATGAATTATTTTCAAGACTAGATCGGAGGACTAGCATAGATCCTGTTTCACCAGCCCTTGTCGTTCCTTGAGTTTATTGCCAATACTGCTTAAACGAGATAAAAAAAATATGATATTTTTGACATTTTCTCTCAATTTTACGAAGTTTCACCTTGTAGAATATTTGAAGTATTGACAGCTGGTTCAGAACTGTTTACCCTATACCTGTATACTAGTCAGCGACTACTGGCATTGGATTTCCCCTTGTTCTCTGAGTGACCTTGGATTAGCATGAGACCTGACAGTGATACGGATTTCTCCTATATGTTATAATCAAGAACAGAAACAAATAAAAATCATCCAAGACGAAGAGTATGGATGGTTAAATAAAACTAATTAAGATGATGCATGAATTTACGCTTTTTCTGCTATTGTGTTCTGATGTGTTCGTTGTTGCACCATTGAAATGAAGCGCACGGCTTTGCTGACCAATGACACAAGTCTGGCAACCCACTCAGAAACCTCGATTCCGGACAAGTAATGATTTAGCACAAATGCATCCTTAGTGACTGGCCAGCCTATCAGATTGACAGATTCTTTAACAGTGATTATCCCCTGTCCAGCCAGTAAGTACCCAGTGATGGTCATCTAGGGAGGCCCAGCTTCCTTCCATGTCTGAGGAGCGAGCATGTGCACATGCAGAAATTCCTTCAGTAGTCAAATGAAACAAGTGACCTTGGATTGTTACAACAAAATTGTCCCTATATAAGTTAACTTTGGTTTACAAGTGACACATTGGGTGTGTAAAATGAGTTTTAATGTGGTTGTGAAAATTCACTCTATCCTCCAAGCCTTGGTCAGATATTGTTTATTCTTGCTTCCGTCAAACCATAATTGCATTAGTTGCATGGTCAATACATGGTGAAGAGAAAATATTTGGACCTTAAAACAAATGCGATCAATCTTATCAAGCGTAATAAGCCTTTATTACATGAAATATTACACCTGGAATCATCATTGTCTGATAGTTATTTTAAACACACGCTTTTAATGATATATGTCATTGCATGAATTTTTATCTCCGTTGCATCAGGTAGTTTACACAGTTTAACATCCAAAACGTACCTATATAGGAGAGGTTTGTTCACAACTAATACGAATGATAATTAGTGCAATATAAGCATTGTTTAAGTAATAACAATATACTTCAAATCACGTTAAGCGTTGTAAGGCTTTATAACATTACATTTTACACAACTGGCATTACAGAACATTTTCAGTGAATAAATTACTGATGAATGGCAAAAAAATAGTATACATCTCAGTTCCTTGGCTGCTCGCCGGTCTGAAACACAAACAGGTTTAGACATTATATCTCGAACCGTCTTTGATCAAGACTTATCTTGTTAAATTGCTTTTATCTGACACGAACATGCACAACAATTCCTTCGTGTTTGAGTGTGATTGTCACAATATGGCTTACACAACAAATCCTCGTCCAGAATAACGAGCAAATTTTCTCCACACAAATGCGTTTGGAATGAAGAATTGCCCCCTTAAATTGGGCACTTCTACTTAAACAATTGTAGAAATCAAATAGTGGTCAGGTGGGAACAGTATAGTCTCACGTTCCGTGCATTTTGTAAGTCAAGTTACAACCTGACATTCAAATACATTATGATAATTAGTGTAAAACACTGTCGACACAGCCTACTAACAGCTTCGGCAATATACTTACATGGCACTTTCAAGCTCCGTTCGTCCTGTTAGACCGCCACTGAAATGGTGTATAAAATAGGTATCATCGTCATCTTGCACAACGGCATCAGGCAGAGAAATATAATAAAAAGTTGTAACTTTTCATCAATACATTGATGACGTAACGTACCTTCTTGTACAATCTCGTGAGAGTGGTCTTGGCTGGAATGTACTTGTTGACCGCTGTTGTTGCCTTCTGGACATATGGATGGACATCGGGTAATGTGTCCAGAGACCGAAGGGGTATTGGTAGGCTTAACTCCATCTGGATCTCTCCATGTTCTGGGTCCCAGACAGTGATCTTGGGGCCATACATTGTGAGAGCATCACGCGTGTAGTTCTTCACCTCCCGCTTGACTAGATCCGGGATCTTCTGCAGGTGTTCCTCTAGGATGGTGCCGCCCTTTGCAACAACAACAAAACCAATATTGTAAAATGTACGATTACTCCACCCCGTTAAAACGTCTCAGGAGCCCATCAAAGTGCAACAAGTCGGTGATAGACAATAACGGTTTCCTTAGTCAAATACACAAAACCTATTAATCTTCTTTGAGAGCCATTTTGGAACTTGTAAAGATTAAAGAAAACCAGGTTATATGGATAGTCAGCTTCTTTATTTCGGTTTCTATTTATCCGACGTTTCGGTGTAGATACTAACACCGTTATCAAGCAAGTATAATATCAAGGTACTTGATAACGGTGTTGGTATCTACACAGAAACGTCGCACTCATTGCAATAGAGAAGTTGACTATCCATATTGGTTTTAATTTAAAAAATATATACATCAAATTACCATTCACATACCATTACAATAATGAATCTGCGTCACAAAATAATTATATCATTATAATAACAAAAAAACGCTGTTTGTACTAAATTATATGGTCACCGAACAAACACACACTTTACGTTATCATGAAAAAACACTTACGTCTTGATATATATCATTTGTAATAGAGACCAGCATCTGTAGATCGCTTCGTTGTTCAGCATCAATCAGGTGTGAACTGATCATCTCTCCCGTATTCACGAGCATGTCCTTGAAGCTGTCGTAAGTCCTGAATGTAGTTCTGGCGAGGCGGTCCATGTATGGAGATATGGAATTAGATATCTCAAGCTTGCTGTCTATGATGTTTGGGAGGTCCAAGATCGTGTCCACTGTTGCTATAAATATGCATACGTAAATATAATGTTATTTTATATTTTATAGAAATCTGTCTGCACTGAGCAGAAGACTGCAATGGCGGCATGAGGATTGCAGTTGCCAAATCACCACATCAATCTTTTCAGCATTACGGTGTCTGTTAACTCGCCCTCTTGGGGCCACACGTCTTGTCTGAAAACCATTGTTCTCGTCGATTACCTCTATGATTTACATCCATGTTTGATTTCACACATCATTGAATCCTTTTCATTGAAATCTGCAATTACTGAGAGTTGCAGATGACAAATCACCTCGAGCAACTGCAACATTTTTAGCATCAGTCTGTTAAATCACAGTCATTAGACCACTGAGATTATTTCGATCAACCTTGGATAATGACATCTTGTCTGAAATATCATCGTTCGCGTCGAGTACTTTTATGTTCACAGCTATATCTGATGTAATAATAATCAAGTAATGAAATACCATTGTCCCAAACCACATTTTGCACAAGTTTTGTATCTCAAATACGAAATGTTATGACGTTGCAAATGGATGCCGAATTATGACAGTATTGTATGACATTTTACCGGTAGCTTTTGTCTGTACAATGTTATAATGGTGCTGATAGGCGTCCCACATTTTCTCGATCATGTCATCCAACCTTGAGATCATCTCTACGACATCTTCTACTGCTGTGTCTACTTCCTCCTGAAAAAGGCAAATCACGTAGGATGTGCTTTAGGACGGAAACGAATTGAGGATTAAGATTCTGTGTCAATAGTGTGATAATATACGCTATGTTTCTGAAAATATGTGGTTATATTTCCACTACACTCTGTTTCTTGAACGGATAAAATCAATCAGGTATACATGTATGAAATTACCCCGTAGGTCGGGACCAAACTTTGATGTCCCCCATTCCACTGTGATAGGCAGATTAACTGACGTTCAGAAGTAAAAAATTATTTCAAATCCAGTTTCGAAAATTCACATTATATCCTTGACATAGACATCAAACCTAAAAACAATTTACAACTCGAGGTGATATGGTCGGGATTGTTTGACCCAATGTCAATGATGACTATCTGCCACACCTCAAACTGATGTTATTTGAATTCACTTTCGTTGGATAAAAGACAGTGTTTACGACGTTGCACAAACACATTTCTACAGGATACCTTTGCAAGGACAACCCAGTCGTACCACAGGTCATCATAGATCTCTTTCATGTTCAAGTCGTTGGCATTCTGTACATGTTCTGTCATAGATTTACTCCCTCTAATACATCTTCTCAAAAGGCTTCAGAACGTGTTTGTATAGCTTCCTGCAAACGATAAAAACATGTTGGTCTGTTTGTTGTCCAACACCGCACTCGCCAGTATATGTCAGGACCAAATGTCATTGTGCTCGATGTTGTGAGCTAAAGAGCCTCAATCGAGCCACCGAGCCTAAACATCAGATCAAATTTAGTCTCTCTTTACAACGAGCATAGGTTGTTGGGAGGGAGGGTGGAGGGGGAGCTATTGTACCTGAAATTCCTACTGGGTTGCAAGAACAATTGTTGAGTGCAGCTGGTAATTGTTTATGTACTTACTCTGCAGCGTCAGGATAGTATCCTATGTCGGCCAGATAGAAGTCATTGCGTTTGTATATGCTCCTGATATCCGTCCAGATAGAGTCCAGCTGGTTCTCTACGACAGCCATTTCTGACACAAGCAGACTTAGATAGGGAGACAGGTCCTCCTTGGTGGCCTGTGCAATCCGGTGATATTTGCCTGATAATTCCTCACCCACAGTCTTGTACACAGAGTCCAAAGTGGCCTTTGCATTTAGTCCGTAACTCTCCACTTTCCTAGTCAAGAAGGCCTATAAATAGAAGCATTCTTATTGGTGATATTATGCATTCGCATGTATGTAACTTTCAGTATGATCGCTGATAGCGCTTCAAGCGCCTTGGAATGTTTTAGATCACACTATACACATTTGAAATATTATTATTTACAGATTAAGATGAATATGTAGCAGAGAGAGTTCGGGTGGTCCTGGCACAGTCATGCTGGTAAGGCTCATTGTCAGCTCAGGGAATCGAATGGGACTTTTCCCAGGAAACGCTGCCTAGTCGAACCCACCAAGTACTTTCCGGAGAATATGTAGATTTCCCAACAATGCAGCCTTCTGCAATCCCCAGAGTGTCAGAAGGGATGTGCTCCCGGTGGAAAACTCGGCCACTCTGCTGATCTGCGCCACGAGATCAGGAGGTACCAAACCAAGGGCACCAAGGACAATTGAGAGCAAGACATTTCATATATATCCTGCTGTACTCATTCACCACATCATGCTTGAAAACGGTGTAAGTATATATACTGAAACGTCGCCATTGTACAATAAAGAAGTTCATCATCTATATAGACTTGTCATTCCTTACAACTTCTAGAATGCCTCTCGAACAGGTCTGTAAATTCATTGCATAATCGACATTTCAAGTAAATATTTTCTTTTAAAATCACATTGGGAATGGGAAGTCACTGGTCCTGGGCAGCAAAAAAGGAAGCCCTCTGTTTCACATTTATGACCAGCCGACTTCATCCAGGCGAAAAAGTCGGTTGGATTGCTATTGTCAATGCTTTAAAACATTTTTGAGTATAAGATACCTGTACATCAGCCATCATCTGTGGCCTCCAGGATATCCTGGTATGGAGGAGACGGGATGTGTTGAGTCTGAGAGCAACAAGACTGTCAAATATACGACGGGAATTCTCCAGATGATAAACCTCAGCCTTTATGGCACTAGAGTTGACGTATCTGGCATTCACGTGAAGCGTCTTTCCAGGGTGATCTGTTCATACAAGGTGTGGGGTGAGTGAGGGGGACGAGGTCAGTTATATAGCTCATTCACAGTCAGTTTGATATTTGCACACATGCACTAGTAACTAATGGGTGTCACATTAAGAATGAATATAATAAATATGTAGGTATTCAAGAAATAAACAGGTATTACCTGGATCAAAATGTGTTTCCAACTCCACCGCCTTCCAGGGTAGCAGTACAGCAGTCAGTGACCTGTTGCTGATCACTACTTTAAACCGACTCTCTCTCATTTCAGCAAAGGCTTCCAAATCCTTAATTGGGCAGTGCATCTACAACAAACCTTCTATTACGAGCAACGTGGGTGTATGTACCTCTGACTATTATAGTACACCTTATACAGCAGTCTCAGTGTCCCGCGCTTGCATTGGTAAAGTATTTTCTCTGGGTTTTTTATGCTATGTATAGAGTTCTGATTTCGCAAGAGTCATCATTGTTTTCATTTAGAGTAAAAACAGTAGAGTACTCACCTTAAGCTTTAACATTTGCACTGGCATGTTGAACTGTCCTTCAAGAGCCCAGTTAATCCTCTCTCTCCTGGCTGTCAGGTAGGTAATTTCTATTCCTGCAGATACCTGCTCACTTGAACTACCGATGTGGGATGTAAGTTGGACGTCCACATCAGTGTATGGGTGGCTTATGCCAACCACAAAACTGTGCTTGGTGTAATCATAGCCAGAGGAAATGTCATCCACGCTAGATGTAAGGAGGATGGTTTTTCGGTCGTCCTCGGAGTAGGATAGTAATGTTTTTCCATTGAAGACAGACCTGCCGTCATTCAGCAATAATCCTGTGTCAACCTTGATGTTCTGAAGATTATTAACAGAAAATACAATGTCTTCTTATTGTGGTTAGAGAATACTAACGTGACATATTCTTTTATTAATGGGCTCAAAGCATCATGTTTACATTAGATGTCAAAAGTCAGTGCAAATACACTGCAAGAAATTATTTTGGGGGGACATGTCCTGTTCATCATGACATTTTCTCTTGGTAATGAGCTCAAAACACCACGATTTCGTTAGATTCCAAAGAGTCAGGATAGTGTTCGGTTCCTACCTTGCCAATAGAAGGAAGTCTGAGAGAGAGATAAGCCTGCTTGTTTCTGTCACCAAATATGCATTCTGCTTTCATGCCAATCTTCTTTGTGTCATCTCTGCCTGCATCCCAGGAGAAGGCTCCAGCCAAGTTTCTTCTTGGACCTGTCTTAATGTAAGACCCTTCCATTTGGACACTTCTCAGAGGGGATCCTACTTTAAAGGTGCCTTCAAACATTTTAGTGTGACGACGGCTATGGTCCTTAACATCAACATCATAGAAAAATGAGTGCCCATCAGCTTCATTCCAGATGAATTCTCCACGACTCCTTGTTTGGCGCTGTGAACTCAGGACATTCCCGATGATACCAACAGTGCGAGTGGGATGCATAAGCTTCAGTGTCAGGTCTCTGTACAAAAGATACTGTGTTCTCCTGTCCATCAGTTTTGCTTGGACTTGAAGGTTGCTACTAGGATGTTTTCTGTCCCAGTTAAGAGTAATTTCTCCTCCAACTTTCCGTAGTTTTCCAGGAATTTGAACATGTGAGAGTAATGTTTCATATGTTGATTCATCAACCGATATTAAACCTTTTGCTCTCACATTTTTAAAGACTCCTTCCTTTGAGACCACAACTGTAATGTTGTGAAAGTCATACACATCCGAGTTAATGCTTACACTTCCATGAAATGTGTTTGTGCTGTGTGTACTATAAACATTAGTAGCAATGTGTTTGGTCCCATTTCTTTCTAATTTCAGAGCACCCTTAAGACTTCCAGCGTCAATGAAGTGAGAATAATCCAAAACACAATTTCCAAAACTTGCCAAAGATAATTTTGTCTCAACTTTGACAGTAACAGTTTCTAGAGACGGACTGCTGAATAAAAGTTTTACAAGGTCCTTGCCCTCAGATTCCTTAGATTTGTAAAATACATTCATGTCAACAAATGATGGCAAAACATATTCAGAACTGACAGATAGTTGTTCCCCATTACTGGTTAAAAACGTTATTTTTTTGTTAGAAGTCTTGCGACCCTGAGAACGATCAGTATAGAGAATGTGTTGCCGCTCATAACCAGTAAATGGAGTTATCAGTTCGGCTTTATATGAGTGGCTGCCCTTTATGCGAGGATAATATGTAAGTCTATATATTATGACTTCGTTGTCTTTGTAGCGAACACGTAATTCTGACACGTAATCGTAAAGGTTGTGATCATATGTGAACCCAATGTTTGTGAAGTTCTCAGCAGGAGTCCAAATCGTCAGATGTGAGTGAAAACCATTCTTCGCGTCTGTTACAAACTCTGTCCGTACTGTTTTATTATTTAAGTTAAACGTACTTGTGGCATTGTATAACCGATTGATATCTGTTATAATATAGGCTCCTTCCATTAATTCATAACCATGGAAATTAGTGTGCAAAGTCATATTCCCCTCTTTTAAGCCTATTTTACCTGTGTAATACAGTGTAATTACAATGTCAGAAATTATCATGTTCATTTTTCCTTTGACATAAAACCCTTCTCTAAGACAATTGATAACTACCTTACTTGTTTTATATTTTTCAAACGGTGTTGTTATGATGAATGTTATCGATGGACCAACAGGATCTTTATCAATCGTGTAAAAGTCTATTGCAATTTTCTTGTGGTTTCCATACATGATTTTAGTATTGACATAGCCTTTGCCACCATACACAGCATGTTTTTCAAATCTAAAAGACAATATTTCCCAGTTACTAAATGGTGTCTTAAGTTCTATTAAACTTAACATAGAGTCCGGAAATATGGCCAAATATCCTTTGTATTTTCTGTAGTTGGTAATGTTGAATGTTATTTCTTTGCCATCCATGAAACGAACGGCTGCATATTGATTTCTCCAATCTTTGTAATGTTTGTACCAAAGCCCTGTTTCACGAAAATCTTGGAAAGGTGTTCTCAATTTTAAAACCATCTCTGTTCTGGCTCCCTCTTTGACGCCAACAACCATACCTTCAAAGGTGGAACCTTCGAATGTGTATAAAGCACTGGTATTCAGCATTGTTGGTGTTACTTCAAAGTTGAAAAGCACTTTAAGTACCTGCATACTTCTGTTACTAGATGTTAATACAACTTTAATTTTATGTCCATGCATGTAGACAATATGCATCGAATGGGTATAGCCAAGCACTTGGATTTCAGTTTTGCCTTCACAGTTCTTTAGAGGACCAGTATAGGTAAACGACACAACGTTGTTTCTTGATGGAGTCTTCAGTGACATTGCTAGTCTGCCGTTTGTAGAGTTGACAAGACTGAAGCTGAACATACATGTAGCCCTTTTGCTGAAACCATTTGTGATTTCAGCAGTCAAATCAGCTTCAGATTTACTAAACGAATGTTGATACTTTACAGTGTTGTTTTCAAATCCTTCAAAAGGTGTTTTGATATCGCCCTCAAATTCGACATGAGCCAGGTCGTTGTATAAGAATGAAATAGCTCCTTTTATAATTTTACTCTTAGCATATGTCAGACTGGCTTTTGTGTTAAAATTGACAATCCCTCCAACATGGTGAAAATGCAATTCAAACTTCCTGTCACTGTTGGATGGAGATGACAATACTCCGACAGCAGACAATGCCAACCCGTTATGTGTATTTGATGGCATCTTAAAATCGATTGCATAGGACATCCGATTTCCGTTAGGTCCCGAGGAAAATGATCCAACTGAAGAAGCCACCTTTGTCTCATGATCTAGGCTTACTTCAGCATTTAGAAATCTAAGTTGGTGAAGTGGTGTCTTGATTTCAACAACTGCTGTGGTCTCTTTTGTGTTTGTGGTGAATCTAGACTCAACTGAAGTAGATACTGTATGTTTCCTATAGTTTGCAACGAGTTCAGATCCTATTGTGCGCGAGTTTCCATTGTATTTACCTTGAATGTCGACACTGACATCCTGAAATGCAATGTATTGTGACACAACTTGATAGTCTCAAGAAGCAGCAGCACACTTTTACATATAATAAAAAATCAACATACTCATAACGGAGATATCATTTTGGTTAAAAGAGACTTATAGCACCAATATAATTTCTATTACTTTCAGTATGAAAGTGATCAATATAAATGTCATACAGTATTGTATTTGAAACAGATGTGATGTCTGAAGGCCTAAGCTCTGCTTGAATGGTACCCATGATACCTTTAGATATATGGTTCTAATACAACTGATACCCGATAGACTGGGGACTATTACAATCCATAAACATCTACACTGACAGTCCGATCTAACCTCAAATGATACTAGGCAAGTTATTACAGGAAGCAAGGCTATAGACAAAAGAATACAATTATTGGAAAATATTTCTGAAGATTCTTTTTAGCATCTTGTAGTTTAAGAAGGTTCCAAGATTGGAACAATTTGGCCATATTTCTGTCACAGGAGTGTACGAAACAGCGCAATTTGAGTGTAACGTGTGTGTGAATTATTTTCATCCCATCAATTATTAATTAACAAGCTAACTCTACCGATCATGGATCAACCATAAGATGTCTTACCATTGGACCAATCTCAGTCTTCAGTTTGTACTTGACATTTACTGCCCGTTTGTTCATATGGTGATCTATCGAAGCGGATCCTGTGATGCGTCTTGCAGGGTGTCCAACCTTGACCCCATACCTTATTGTGACATCTGCTTTGGTATGCCTCGTGCTGTGGGAGAAGTCACCTTTCAGAAATACGTTCAGATGCGGTCGCTCCTGGTTTTTATAGTCCCTGTGTCAGAAGAAAAACATAACAGCTGAGACTTTCATGCAAAGTATTTGTACCACAGAACCTGTGTACATTACGTTTTCTCTTTGCATTACAATCCACATATGTCTTCAAGCCATAGCTCTTGCTATCGTGTAAATAGTCATGTCTGAGCAAGAAAACTAAGTGGTTTATATTTCGATCAATGCACCAGTCCATTTGATATTACATCATGTTTGCCACACAGAACATACAACCTGTCATACAACTGATATACCATTTTATAAGTTCCGCTTAAATTTGGTTTTTCAAAGCAATATTTATAATTTTGCTGTAACAAAGTCCAAAGTCAGAACATTCTCAATAAGTTAAAAAGAAAGTATTTCTATGCTTTCACTTACATATTTAACATATACTTCCAGTGGCTTATCGTCTTTTGATCTGTTAGCTTTGACCTGATTGTATGTTTGTTGTTCCAGCTTCTGTAGGCTTCGGGAAGTGTGTACTCCACGGTGACTGTGGGGTTAACTGTTTTCTTCGTACTTTCCACATTGCCAATGACTTTGGCATCCAGGAACTCAGATCTGACAATAACTTTTGCCAAGTGTTTGGCCTTTTTACCAGATATTTGGTTCATATCACCTGTTTAAACAATCTCATTTTACACTTCTACAAACAAATTTGTCTCTAAATATATACAGACTGTTCACATATTTGGAAGGCATTTATTACCTAGTTTGCCTTGAAAGTAAACTATGAAGTAGTTTCCAAACACCATTAAATGTTCTTGTTGTGTTAAATAATAATTCATGAGTCTAATGTTTTGCTGGTGCTGCTGAATATTCTGCAAGACAACCAAGGCTTTCTATTCTGATATGTAACCAATACCAACATCTTACATTGATTTGTGGCCATGATACTTACACTGAAATGTAATTGGCTTGTTAAGAAGTTTGTGAACATCGAAAGTGACGCTTCCCTGAAGTGATTTGTTCTCCTTATATTTCCATTGCCCCTTGAGTGAGACCAGCTCACGTTTTGGGGTCTTCATTGTTAATGTCGGGATGACCTTGATGATTGGCTTCTTCTTGTCAGTCTCCTGGTACACATATCCGGCCTCTATAACATAATCCTGCTCTGGGGCCATACTGAGGGTACCCTTTAGACTCTTCTCAGTTTCAGAGTTCATCAAATAGGCTGCAACATGAAACTAATGTATGACTAAGCCTCATTGCCGTAGTAGATTGTGTCCGTTAGTACGGATGTGCTCGAAGGAAGATAAAGCATCAGAACAGAATGTCTGGGGAACATATTGTACATTCTATTATAGCATGGTGTAGGAAATGTGTTATACTTGATTTGTTATATTTGCTTGGTTGTTTCGGTGGGTTTGTTTTGTTGTGTTTTGTCAATTTGGTGTGTGTGCTGGGTGTTTTTGTTGTTGGTTTTTGTTGGTTTTCTTGTTTTGTTTTATTTTATTTATTTTATTAGTTTTGGTGGGATTTTTTTTGTTTTATGTTTTTGGGGGTGGGTGATGTTTACACAAAACTTGTAGAGGGTAGGGCGGTGGGATGGTGGAGGGGTTTGCGGGGTTGTTTGTTCTGTTTTGTATTGTAATGTAATAGTAAAGATACTACTTGCATTTCAAGCTCACTGCATCTGTTGTTAACCCTTTAAGTGTTAACTCAACACTGGCTTTCTTGTTTACTTCAGTCTCTACTGTTCCAGTCAGTTGGATGAGCTTTGCTCTTGGACGCCTAATCTCCAGTCGGGGCATGTAGGTTATCATTGACCTTTTCCTCTTTATGCCAACTTCACTGATGAATGAATATTCTGATGATTTATCAACAGTCAACTGGCCTTTCAAGCCAATTTTTTTCTTCTCTGAGGTCATTGAACCTGTGGCATAATACATTGATCATAACAATACACTCAAACCTTTTCACGTCAATATTTGTATTTAATTTTGTCAAAGTCGATGAAGATTAATGTTATGTTCATAGTATATTGAGAAATTTGGGTTTTTTGTTGTTGTTTTTTGTGTGTAAAAATTAGGGCAGTTGAAGTTTGTACGAAATGATGATAAAAATAACAATATTATCTGAAGTAACAATCCATTTGCCTTTAAGGGTAGCTTTCTTCCAGGGAGTCAAAGCTTCCATCTCAAATTCTTTGGTTTTCCTCCTTAAAGTAAACCGCATGTCAATGGTGCGGTCAATTTTGGATCCAGGTGTGTTCAGGTTGAATTGCACAAACGTGTTCTGCTTATTCTGTAAACATCCAATACGAACGGACAGTTTAGCATATCAAACATCATATAAAATTACCCATCTGTCCCCAGCATCCATTGTTGGTTCATGCAGATTTTTAGACGCACATCATCTGTTTATCTTTGATACGTTCATTGACATATAGAATGAAGATTAATACCGATATATACGTACCCCTGATTGTTTTGCCATGATCTTGTACCCAGTGTGCCTGTCCCTCTTGTGAAGAACAAGGCTTTGAGTGAAGGGCCCTGTGAAGGGGAAATATGGAGCACCATCTACCATCGAAGTACTAGGCCACTGGAATTCATTACATAGCTCAAGACCAGTGATGGAGGCAAATCTGGCTCCTGTGCACAGCTCCAACTTCTTTCTGTTGCCTGTGACCAAGTCTTGTTTTTTCTCCTGATCACCATGAATGCTGAAGAACTCTGTGCTGTGTGGAATAGAAAAGAAAATATTAAGCTTTACAGAAAAGTACAATTACATTTTGAATGACTGAAACTTTCATTTATAATTTTCATATTTAGAAAATCATGAACATATCCTTCAGTAAAGTTTTAAGAATTAATATAACATGTTTTCAGGTGTCTAAACTATATTTATATTGATATTAATGGTTTTAAATAGATACTGAGTACATATTGTGAGAGCGACAGGTTTTGTTCTACAGTGATAACACTGGTCTCAACACCATACTGATGACCAGAAAAATTGCAATCCTCTGAACAGGTTAAAATAAATATATTTGTTTAAGTGATTAACAACACACATGAGCCAATGAATGATATTTTGCTTCAGGTAATAGATGCTACTACCTCACATCCAGGATTTCCATTTTCTGTTGTGGAAGATCAATGTCTGCACTAAGAATCTCTCCCCGGCTGAGTTCTACACGCCCTTTCAATGCAGTGCTGGAATGCCAGGTGTTGACAACTCTAAGCCCGGTTTTGGTGACAAAGCCATCCATGCTCATAGTGCCTGTAATCTTGATAGATCCACTGGAAAAAATCATCAAAACATATAAGTGCAAATTTAGATCTAGTTTCACATACCTTTGCAAAAAATAAATAGAAATTATTAACCGAGTGTGTTTCCGTGTCATTAATATCATATATTAGGAATAAAAATTGTATTATGCGAGCCTGCGAATAATTTTTATTCCTAATATATGATATTCAAGATACGGAAACACAGGAGGTTAATAATCTCTTTATCATATAATGTCATTCATAAAATTACTCAAAAAAAGAAGCAACTCGTACGTGAATTTATTTGAAGAGAATCGAACATTCGCGTAAGAACACTTAGCGGTACACCAAGGTGAAGGTCGCTCATGACGGCGGCATATGGTTGTGACTAGTCGCGAATACAGTGCAAACATAATTCATACTTAAAATAAAATCTTTCTGTCTTAAAAAGAACAACAGAATCGGGCACGGTTTTCTTAGCTGTGTTTCTATTTTCATTGCGGTTAAACACCTCATCAATATCAGTTTCTGATACCTAACGCTATCGATTCGTCGTCTGTATTGTGATCGATAGATCGAAATCCTTGGTTGGAACCTTCCTTAGACGATTGCCTTTCAGTGGTGCCTCATAATTCGTACCTTTAATTGGAACGAAGTACTCCGTTTCATGTTTTCCAAAGTCAATTGCTGCAGTAACGACTCCAGAACCTCTGTCATCAATTCTTACAGAATCATCAGTTTTGAGAATGGGGGCAGCCATGTTTGTTTACAAACAATGTAAACTTTCGACTACGTCATCAATGAAATGTTAACGTTGTAGCATTCGCATGACCTGTATGGAGTTTTGTGAAAGTAGTTCGTGGATTGACCTAATTTGCATAGTTATCAGATTTGGATACCAAGTTTATCAGATTGCTTTATTGCACCGATAACACCCTCCATTAGATGATAAAACTTTCAATCATCATGTACCTTGGCTTCATGACTCCATCAATGAGGAGACTCCGTGGCGAAGTCAAGATGTTTCTGAGATCAACTTCACCAGATGCCCGAAGATCAATGCTGGCTGTTCCGTTCACGTTGAGAGTGAGGGGGAGACCGGAGCTGGTAGGGATAATCATGCTACTGTCCAGGATCATCATACTCTGAGTGAAGGAGTAATCCTGCTTCTTGGACATCTTGATAAGGAAGTCCAGAAAGTTGAAGTTCTTTACAGAAGCAATGGGATCTACGCCTTTCAAATGGCCATAGTACATTTCACTGCCAAAGATCTTCACGTACACATCGCCTTTTAAGTCAGAAACATTGTGAGAAACCTACAAGAATATATAAACAGTGAGATAGGCCGGGATAGAGGGAATTAGCATTCAGTTTCACACCAGCAACAATTTGCGATGAAATTTGTAATCAGACATTGTAATTGTCAACATTGTAATGTATCTACAACCATTCTTATGATATACTCACCACATCATTTTTCGGCAGCCAGTCTCTGAAGAAGGTATAATGACTGAAGTATTTTTCAATCAAATACTCCACGCCTTCCACGCGTCCACCCACTTCAAAGAGATTGAGAGAGCTACCGAAGAGATCAACTGTCATGTTGAACATTGCAGAACGAGGAAGGGCAGAGTTATCTGAAAAGATGACATTACTCTCGAGCATGGCGCCAGTGTTGTACTTCTCCAGGAATAGAGAGCCTTCGTAGTTGCGTGAATACTTTAGTGTTGAGAGGTCGAAATTTCTTCCAAGGGTTTTGTCCTCCAAGATCCGTCTGATGGTCTGCTTCTGTGGACTGGATGTTTCCATCAGGTTGGTAAGGTGAGACCAGACGAAGGATCCAACTTGCTTAGCTTTCTCAGACTTGAGAGACGCTTGGATTCTGATGAAGACATCTTCAGATGGACACTGCATTACAGCCAAGTAGGCTGCAATTCTCAGTTCAGGATCTTCATCGGAATCTTGGAAGGTGGCCTTTTACTTTACTTCTCTGGAATCAAACACGAGGCTGTGATGGACATTACACGGTTATCAAACATATTATGATATTTAAATGTAACAAATATCCAATTCTTGAGTGAATTGTGTATACATTTCCAGAACTTACATCGGCTGTACAGGGTAGCCTTCTGTAGGCCTGGATGGCAGCTACTCGGATCTCCATGGGGTTGTCTTGTCTGTTGAAGCAGCTGCTGAGTGTAGTGGTCAGTCTGTCCAAATGGCCTGCATTTCCGAGAGCACGAAGGGCCACAAGACTAGTTTCGAGATTAGAATCTCTGATGTTGCAACCATAACCAATAGTCTTCTCCATGGTAGAGATGATATTTGTGATTGTGGATTCCACAGAACAGTTTTCGTGATGGTTGCAATAGTTGTTGACCATAGTAGAGATTGGAAGCATGGCAGCCTTGCTGTACTGAGGAGTGTCAAGAAGTGCCTACAAATGCATAGATTTAAAGGTGGTATATGACTCATAAGATGGCATACCGTTTTGATTGAGGGTGAACACAATCATTGTATTTTTGTGATGTGGTTGTAAGCTCACCTTTACTTCCTGCAACATCTTCAGTGTGGGGTAGTGGATGAGAGACAGGGATGTGATCCACATGGTTGCCTGAGCTCCAGTGACCTCTCTTTTCAGAAGAATATCTTTCAAGATCATAACAGATGCACTTGTGCTTGCCATCGGGATAGAGTCCAGAAACATATTTCTGGAATAGAAATTATTTAACACTTTATTTGAGACTAGTGGTATGACTATGGGCATATATATTCAAGTATTGGGCTCATCGATTAAGGTACATTTTCATAATTATCATGTTTGTGTCACAGTTGCAAATAATTGGGGACACTAACATTGTGAATAAACATTCAAATGGAGTACTAACTTAACATTCTCGCTGTTATCAGTGCAGATAGACCCAGATTTAACTTGCTCGTAGATGCTTTTGATGTCATCAAAACGCAGGTTTTTGATGATGTAGACAAGTTCAGAGAACAAGCGTGGAGTTTCGGGGCGGATGTCATCGTGTGTATTCTGACAGAGCTGTCGCAGTTTACTCTCAGCATCTCTCTTTGGTTGGACTTTGTTTCTTTGGCCGTGGGCATGTTCAAACGTTATTCCTGCTCGATTCAGAATGTATTCTGGAACATAAATTTTAAAAATAAGTTTGTAAGACGTTGGGAATAATTTTGAAAGTTGATAATCGATGTATTTTTAGGTCTTTGTAATTGTGATATAACTGTCACTACTATTCGCCTTTAAGACATAATGGAACTTGTTTCAGCGGAAAATCGAGACACGTTATTTTCCAGCGTTGAAGTCTTATTTATTTGTAATACATATAGTTATCTTAACTATTGTTTGCTCTGCATATCCTAACACCAGTGTCGTGAT